AAGACCATGGGGGAGGGGAAGGGAAAAAAATGTTAGAGAGGGAGAGAACCAAACCATAAAAGATTCTTAAAAACTGAGAATGAACTGAGGGTTGATGGGGGGTGGGAGGGAGGGGAGGGTGGGTGATGGGTATTGAGGAGGACACCTTTTGGGATGAGCACTGGGTGTTGTATGGAAACCAATTTGACAATAAATTTCATATTAAAAAAAAGAATGTATGTAGATGAAAAATTGCCTTTATATTCTACCTTACTCTAATAAACTTAGTTTATTGAAAAAAAAAAAAAAGATTGCTAGTTTTCATCTGCTTCACACTAGGAATTGCTGCTGGAGTGGAAATTGGCAAGAATGACTGAAAGAAACTGGTATCGGTGTTGCAAAACTGTTGAGATAGATCATGACCTGAAATGAGGGCTCTGAGAAAGTAACATAATCCTCTGTCAATGTCCTGGACTGTTTGCCTTACAATATTTAAACTTTAAATATGCTTACTTTGAAATGCCAGGATTCCTAACTGGGAAATACATATGGTTTAGTAAAGTTGCATTCCTCATATAAATCTATGCCTTTCAATAAGAAATCTTAGGGACATTCTCTTTTTTTCATGGAAAACCATAAAACTGAAATCTTTGTGCTTTTCTTTGGCTCTGTGCATGGTATAGTGATACTGCGTAAAGCCTTCAGAGATTGAGAATCTGCCAACACTGAATAATTTAGCCTAAATCGTAGATGAATCACATCCTCAGTTTCTTGTGTGCAGTTTTTATCTTGTATGTGGATTGTTGTGGTGCTTTTAAAAGTTATTAGCACAACTTTTTAACACTTCACCTTTTCTGTTTCTAATGCATGACTTTTTAAAAAATCAAAACACTAAAATAGGGGTGTGTGGGTGGCTCATTTGGTTAAGTGGCGGGCTCTTCGTTTCAGCTCAGGTCATGATCTCTGAGAGTGAGAGAGATCCCCATGTTGGGCTCCATCTCATGGTCCTGAGATAGAGCCCCTCATAGGGCTCCACTCCCTCCCCCGACCCCGTGGAGCCTGCTGAAGATTCTTTCTCTCCCTCTCCCCTCTTTGCACCATGTGCTTGTGTTGTCTCCATCACTCTCCCTCACTCTCAGAACAAAACAAAAAACAAAAAACACCAAAATAAGTGAGAGTCCCTTCCTTCTACCTCTCCCTTCCTGTTACCTACATCTAGCCACTGGTTCCTTGTATATATATGTTTCTAGAGCTTTTCTATACATGTGTGAATTCTGTGTGCAGAATTCTGTGTGTGCGCTATATACTCATACATGTAGTTTATATCATTATGCGCCTTGCTCTTCTAATTCAGTACCGTGTTATGGAAATCATGTCCATACATAAGGCTCTACTTCCTATGGCATTTCATAGTATGAATTTACCATAATTTTATTTGATCATTTCCTAGTAATCAGCATTTAGGTTGTTTTTACATTTTATAAATATTGCTGCAGTGAATACATACACATATTTGTACATTTTTAGAATATTTTTGGAATAGATTGTTAGGGGTGAAATTATTAGGTCAAAGGATATGTGTTTTAAAATGGTGACAGTAAAAAATTATTTCTTTAAAAATTATTTTCCCAATACCCTCCTCTAAATATGTGGGGATGTCCATTTTACTCCTGTTTTTTCCTTTCATTCATGTCATTTATTCAAGTCGTTAATTTATTTGAATTTTGCCAAACTGATATGTCAAAATATGCATTTTATTATTTTAACTTACATTCTTTGATTTTAACTGGGCTTAATAATTTAAAAATATTTATTATTTATATTCTACAGATTGCTATTTTGTATCATCCTTCATCCATTTTCTACCTACTTATTTTGCCATGTAGAATCCTTAATTGTATCTGGTGAGATATGTTGCTTCTTTTTCTGTGATTTTCTTCATGTTAGTTTTGAGAGGACCTCTCTCCATGATTATCAAAATGCACTATCTTTTTTCTACTATTTCAGTAATTGTGCTTTTTATATTTAAGTCTTACAACACCTGAATTTATTTTTGTGTATAGCATGAGATAAAGGAGGCTGATTTTTCCCCCCACCTGAATAAACAGTTGTTCTAAAAGGGTCTTTTCACCGCTGATTTGAATTGCTGTCTTTATCATATTCTAAATTTGGACTCTTTTGTTCCATTGATTTATTGGTCTATTCATGTGCCAGAAACACACTTTTCTAATTATTGTGTCTTTTTCATATGTGTTTTGGTACTTGATACAGCAATATCCTCTTCATTAATCTTTGAAAAATTTTCCTTGCTTAATCACACGTTTTCACTTCCAGATGTATTTTTAAATGTTCTTTGCATGTTTTCTAGAGAAAATTTGCTAATGTGCAGTGGGATGGCATGCCCTTTGCTCTTTTAGGCTGTGAACAGATGACTTAGTAGTCTCAGATACTCTGTGCTCTTATAGCAACGCTTTGACCATACTGACCTTTGACTTCCTGTGATTGTCATCACTGGCTGTCACTGCCTCTTACCTTTTCTCTTTGCTACTCTGTTCTCTTTTAGCATCTTACCAACACAAGAAGCCTCTACTGATTTCTTTGCCTCTGTTCTTCAGCACTTGTGTAGAGCTTCTAACCTTTTGTTGCTCACACTGGCCAATCAGAATGTAAGCAATAGTAGTACATCAGGTTATGACCTTAGGTTTTCCTCACTCTTAGCCCTTTCATTGTTGCTGGCTGCTTAGAGTGTGCTTTACAAATGCCAAATAAACTTTTTTTTTTTTTTTTTTTTGAGTCATGCTTTTGGAGCTGTTTCATTGCTCAGATTTACAAGAGGTCTGTTCTTATAACTGAGATATTATTGGATAATTATTATGATAGTGTGTTTGTGTCATGCACAGTTTGAGGTGACATACTTACTTGCTTTACTACCTTTGCTCTAACCTTTCAGCTAAGTCCTTAAATGTTGTAGTAGGATATATACCATGTCAACATGATCAGACCGAGTTTGGAGTTAAACTGTATGATTAACTGTACCAGTCTCTACTGTTGGATAACAGCTTCATGAAAATTTGTATTTGTAAAACAGATAATTTTAAAAGATGGGTTTTTATGTTATATAATAATTATTTGGTTTGCATAAACGTCATCTTAACTAGACACGTAACTATGAAGCTTCTTGATTTTAATGGCTTTTTTATGGAATTACTATTTTTTTTCTGAATATACCTAATAGAGTTCATTTTAAGCAGATTCATGTAGATGTCTCAGTATTTTCCTGGGTTATCCAAATCTTGAGAATCACTTCACTGAGTTAAGACAGTGGAAAACAAAAGTACAAAAATCTCACACTGTGTCTTTGGTCTTAGGTACACATGAAATTGTTCAATTTTTTAAATAAGATTTTTTTCTGATTATGAAAATATTTGCTTATCTGATCATACTTAGCGAACAGAACATTGTAACAAAGAGAATAAACATTACCTGCCCTGCTGCAAATATAAAATGAAATTTCATGCATTTATATGGAGGCTTGATTAATAATGGAATAATAGTTGATAGTGGGCACTTATATTTACCTGTTTTGTTCTAAGCACTTTATAAGTACTGACTAATTTAAGTCTCACAGCTACCTCATTTATATAGTTTACGTCATTTATTATCTTCATTTTACAGATGAGGAAACTGGCACATGGAGGTTGAAGAACTTGCTTATGGTCATATAGGCTAATAAATGCATTATGTGTGTATTCATAATAAATGATGGAGATCAGACTTAAACTCCTAGAACATGTATATAACCACTGTCTTTATTGCCTTTGTATGTATTAGTATTTGCATGCATATATGTATCATCTTGCCTACGTATCTGTTTATTTTAATAGAATAAGAGTTTCTAAAAGGATTATTGTAGTTTGCCCGTAGGATAAATAAAAAATAAAAGTGAAAATGTTCACTTTTCTAATTTTAAAAAATAGATTTTTTAAAAGACTGGTATTATGAATTCATAGGTATTTGTTCCATATTGTGAGTTTCTTATTCTGGGAGAATAGAGAGTCATTACCTCAGCAGTTTAATGGATTTACATTTCATCTGACTCACAGGAAAGTCTCTTTCCAGGTGAGATTGACTTTGGGAGGAGGTTATAACACTGACCAAGGGCAGTAGGAGCTCATTGTCCAGTTTCTTTACTTCAGCCCTTAAAGACCTATGTGGGCTTATAATGGCAAACCACAAGCTATCCTGTCAAAATGTGGTACCTGAAAATAATATTCAGCAGCACCAGGGAGATCAGTTCCAGTTATTGTTGGTGATCTGGATATGTAGCCACTGCTGTGCCTGTTTTTGGCCTCGTGACCACATTTACCCTTGTCTTGTTCTGTGAACTGGTCTTCTGTTTTCCATAATCTGCTCTTAAGTTCTTTTTCCTGTCCATCTGGCTAAGGTGTTTCATAACTTACTTGAGGATATGCGGTCTTGATACTTTGCAGCCTGACTGAAGTCAGGTCCAGCTTTATTGGAGAGGAATGGCCCAGCTCCATTGTGGCTTTTCATGTGAAGACTGTTCTAGACAACTCTGGATTGGAAGTGCAACAGAGACCATAGCTGTTTATTCCTGAAAATAATTGCTTAAGTAAACATAGTGTGGTTCTTGTGAATTTTGGCTCTGGACACCACAAACTGGAAAATGTGGGATGAAATAGAATTTTAACCATTTTTGTCCATTCCCATTAAATTATTTCAGCTTCATTGATCATCATTTCAGGCCTGCTGTAATGCAATATGGCCTTAGAGGTTGTCCTACCTTCCACTGGCTCCTCCTGCACTTTATCCTCCGAGATTATGGTAATGTTATAGAAGTAAAAGCCCAGCAGTAACAGAAGTAAATGAGATGCATTTGAAGGGTTTTAGGAACACAGAAGAAATGTGGAAATTATGGTATTCTTATTGGGGATTCTCCTGTAATAATAGGTGACTTTTTACTGAAAGGAAGAATAATGGTAGAATAATTTTATATAGTGTGCCTCTAATATCGCTAGGAGTGCTTTATGAAAGTAGCATTCATTGATTTGATGAAGTTAAGTTTGTCTCTCTTCGGAATATATTTATGTTTGTATCATAAAAAAAGCATATGTATGTCCTCATATCACTGGGTTTGGTGTTGTATAAATTCTTTATATTTTTTGGATACTAACCCTTTATCAGATATATCATTTGCAAATATCTTCTCTCTTTCACTAGGTTGTCTTTTAGTTTCAGTGGTTGTTTCTTTCACTGTGCAGAAGCTTATTTTGATGTAGTCCCAATAGTTTATTTTTGCTTTTGTTTCCCTTGCCTCAGGAGACATATCTAGAAAAATGTTGCTATAGCCAATCTCAGAGAAATTACTGCCTGTGCTCTCTTCTGTCTAGCATTTCTATGGTTTCAGGTGCTACATTTAAGTCTTTAATCAGTTTTGAGTTTATTTTTGTGTGTGGTGTAAGAAAGTCATCCAGTTTCATTCTTTTGCATATAGCTGTCTAGTTTTCCCAACACCATTTGTTGAAGAGACTGTCTTCTTCCCATAGCATATTCTTGCCTCCTTTGTCAAAGATCAATTGACCATGTAATTGTGGATTTACTTCTGGGCTCTCTATTCTGTTCCGCTGGTCTATGTGTCTGTTTTTGTGTCAAGGTCCTATTGTTTTGATTGCTTTGTAGCATATCTTGAAATCTGAGATTGTGATACCTCTACTCCTGTTCTTTTCAAGAGTGCTTTGGCTATTCAGGATCTTTTGTGGTTCCATAGAAATTTTAGGATTGTTTTAGTTCTGTGAAATATGCTGTTGTATTTTAACAGGGACTGTATTAAATCTGTAGATTGCTTTGGGTTGTATGGACATTTTAACAATATTTATTCTTCCAGTCCAAGAGCATGGGATATCTTTCCATTTGTTTGTGGTCATCTTCAGTTTCTTTCATCACTGTTTTATAGTTTATAGAACACAGGTCATTCACTTCCTAATTTTTTCCTAGTCACTTTAATATTTTTGATGCAATTGTAAATGGGACTGTTTTCTTATTTCTCTTTCTGCTACTTCATTATTGGTGTATAGAAGTTCAGTAGATTTCTGTACAGTGATTTTGTATCTTGTGGCCTTACTGAATTCATTTATCAGTTCTAGTAGTTTTTTGGTGGAGCCTTTAGGGTTTTCTATATATTGCATCATGTCATCTGCAAATAGTGTTTTACTTTTTCCTTATCAGTCTGGGTGCCTTTTATTTCTTTTTCTTGTCTGATTACTATGGCTGTAACTTCCAGTACTATGTTGAATAAAAGTGTGGAGAGTGCACATCCTTGTCTGTTCCTAATCTTGAGGGAAAAGCTCTCAAATTTTGACCATTGAGTGTGATATTAGCTGTGGGTTTTTCATATATCCTTTATTATGTTGAGGTATGTTCCCTCCAAACCTACTTTGTTGAGGGTTTTTGTCATGGATGGATGTTGTACTTTGTCAAATGCTTTTTCTGAATCTTATTGAAATGATCATATGGTTTTTATTTCTCTTGTTGATGTGATGTATCACGTTGATTGAACCACCCTTGCATCCCAGGAATAAATCCCACTTGATCTTGGTGAATGTTGGATTTTGTTTTTAAAAATATTGTTGGATTTGGTTTGCTAATATTTTGTTGAGGATTTTTATATCTGTGTTCATCAGAAATATTGGCCTGTAGTTCTCTTGTGGTTTGTAGTGTCCTTATCTGGTTTTGGTATCAGGGTAGCATTGGCCTTGTGGAATGAATTTGGAAGCTTTCCTTCCTCTTCTGTTTTTTGTTTTTTGGGGTTTTTTTTTTTTTTTTTTTTTTGGAATAGTTTGAGAAGAACAGGTATTAACTCCTCTTCTTAAATGTTCAGTGGACTTCACTTGTGATGTCATCTGGTCCTGGACTTTTTGGGAATTTTTTGATTACTGTTCATTGCTGGTAATCAGTCTGTTCAAATTTTCCGTTTCTTCCTGATTCAGTTTTGAGAGGTTATATGTTTCTAGAAATTTATCCATTTCTTCTAGGTTGTCCAGTTTGTTGACATATAATTTTTCATAATATTCTCTCTAATCCTCTGTATTTCTGTGGTGTTGGTGGTTATTTCTCCTTTCTTTTCTTTCTCTTCTTTTTAAAAATCATTTTGTTTTGCGAGAGGCGAAGAGGGGGAGTGGGGCTGAGGGGTAGAGAGAGAGAAAATACTGAGCAGGCTCCACACTCAGCACGGAGCCCCGTGTGGGTCTCGATTTCATGACCCTGGGATCACGACCTGAGCCAAAATCAAGAGTTGGATGCTCACCTGACTGAGCCACCTAGGTGCCCCCTCCTTTCTTTTCTGTTTCTGTTTGTTTGAGTGTGCGTGCTCTCTCTCCTCCCCCTCACTCTGTGTGTGTGTGTGTGTGTGTGTGTGTG